GCCCTAAGATTTGTCGTCGCATTTCATTGCATTTAATCAATTACTAACAAATTTGTGTAGTCGTTTGACTTTTTGCAGGTAAATATCATATGGCATGCATTTTTTTTCTAAAAAGTAAAAATGGCACAATTGGCAGGAGGACATGTGTAAGGAGTTATGAGTGTGAGAGGTTGAGAGTTCGAATCTCACCTTTGTCACTTTTTTTTGTTTTTTATTATTTTTACTCTAAATTTTTCTATCTTTCATTAAAAAAATAACAAAAATAGTTTTTTATTATTATTTAATTATTATTTTCGTATTTTAATTAAATCATTTTTTAAAATATTATTTTTTCACTTTTTTCTAAATTATTCATAAAAATATCCAAAAAATCATAAAATAAAAAAATATTGAAAAAAACTTTGTTCTTTTTATAATATTTTTTATTTTAGGAATCAATAGGATTATTAGTTTTTATTTTAAGTTTATTTTAATTATTTTAAATTTTATTTTTTCTTAACTAATTATTTAGGTTGGGCTTTAAAATGGGCTTTAGGGACATTATTGACAATTTGGTGTTAACCCTAATTTGTTCCCTATATATACATGTGTTGCCTTGTTGGAAAAGAGGAGAGAATGAAAAAAACCTAAGAGGAGTGAGTGCCGTTTGCCGTTATTTAGTTTTCTTCTTCATCCATTACTATTGTTTCTTTTTCTTCATCGTTTACCGTTATTTCTTTTCCTTCATCTATTACTGTTGTTTCTTTTTCTTCATCTTTTACCGTTATTTCTTTTTCTTCATCTATTACCGTTATTTCTTTTTCTTTATCTATTACTGTTACGTTTATATATATATAATTTTTAAATTGTTAGAGTTTATATATATAAGATTTTTGATCGAATTATGTCGATACGATGTTTGCACATTTGTGTGCATGATGCGTGACATTTGTGTTAGTTCGATCTGGTTGCGATGATCGCATTTTTGTGTGAGCAATAATACTATTTTTTGCTTAATTTCTTTTTCTTTGCGATAAATTTTGTTTCGTCCGATTTAGATCTGTTTGCGATGAGCGCATTTCTGCGTTAGCAACATTGTTGGGTTATTTGGCACATTTAAAATTCATTATTGCTTTATTATTATTATTATTATTATTATTATTATTATTATTATTATTATTATTATTATTATTATTATTATTATCATTATTTATTATTATTATCATTATTATCATTATTATTACCATTATTATTATTATTGTTATCATTAATTTATTAAAATTTGTTATAATATAAAAATCTGTTTTTTTAAAATAAATAACATTAACATCTTTTCCAAATTAATATGAAAACCTATTATTTTTAAGAAAAACCTTTTTTTAGATAAATTTAAAATAATAACTAAAATCTTTTTTTTAAAATAATAATTAGAACCGTTATTTATTTTATTTTATTATTGTTCAATTCAAATTTCATTATCATATTGTATCTGCTCCTCTCATGTAACCTCGCGAACTTAACAATCGCTCTTTAAATTCTGCCTTTAAATTTCTGCTTGCATGGTTTAAATTATGACATTATCTCTCTGTTTGCATGATTCAATTATCTCACGCGTTTACTATTATTTCTGTCACATTGCACACATCCGAAGGTTAGGTCTAACTGTTTGGCCGCCGCGCCAATAGTCCGTAAAACTTCGCACATTCAATTTCAAATCCTCAAAACTACAAACTACAAACCCTAATTTTCACAAATGCCTCGCCGCAGGCAAAATTACAATTTTACCCTTAGCATTAGGTCAAAGAGCCGCCGCGCTCATTTTAGGGTTTCCCGCCGTGGAATCCCTAATTTAACCCTAATTACAACTTAACATTTCAACGTAGAGATTTGGAGTTTCTACACTCCACGTAAGCGTGTCCTTAAGATGCGTTTATTCCCCTTGAGACCTTGACCACAGTCAAGAAGTTTCTAACCTCCCTATTGAGGGGAACTACGATTACTCTGATTCCACTCCCGTAAGGATACGTAGGCACAAGATGCGATGTCTTGCCGAGTAAACTTAGAATTAACCCCCTTTATTATTTATTATTGCTTATTTATATTTTATTTATCTTTGCTATTTAATTATTTTGCTTATTATTTTGTAATTGTTTCTTGGATGTAAAGTTGTTTAATTATTTAATTATTATTATGGTTAGTAATTAGGGAGTGTAACAACATGTATGTAATATTAAAATAAATTTAGATCACTTTTAAATAAAGATAATTAAAATAAACACGTCACACACGTAAGTCGATTTTAATCGCCGTCTCACTTCCTAAGGATATCCCTCAAGTTGCCTACGAATAATGGTTAAGTGGGGTGTATAAAGCAAGTCCCTCAAATAGAAAAATCATCAAAGTCCCTTATGGTTGCCTTTACGAATCGAGTCCCTTTCGAAAAATGATGATGGTCCCTTATATGTGCTTATTACATCCCACAATGGCCTTCAAAGTCAAATTGTCCCTCACATGTCCCTTAACATCCAAAGTAAGGACTACCTACTCCATTATAGTAGGGATAGTCTTACTAAGGAAAGGATAAAGAATAAGAAAGACCTTAAAATATTAGGGTAGGTTACTCCTAGGTGCTTGCTCACTTCAAAACTTTTTCACACTTAAACAAATTTCCAACAAAATTTTCAAACAAGTTTTTTTTCACATCCATACACGGATTATTATTAAACTATTCTGAAATTTTTTGCTATTCACACACTACACTCTCAAAACAATTCAAAAGTGAGCTTAAGTACCTAAGAGCCCATGGATAACCATGGATGAAGAGGGTGCTAACACCTTCCCTTTTCATAACCTACCCCCCGGACCCAAAATATTCTCTAAGGTCTTTCCTGTTCTTTTATAACCTTTCCTTATGGATAAAATAAAAGTCGGTGGCGACTCTTGCTATCCGCAACATTGTTTAAAGTCAGTTCTCCCACCGTGTTACAATGTGTGCGTCATTCCCTTAAAAATTGTGTTTGTATAAATAATTGTTTTGATTTTTTTTTTTTTTTTTTTGTGATTATGGAGGGAAAAATCCCAAAAACAAACAAACTTAACTAACCAATATCACTACTATCTTCTAAGGGAAATCACTAAACTTTAAGTAATTCCCTTGAAGGCCTAAGCTGAACTTTGCTAAAGCATTCTCACATTGATTAGGTGCACGGTGAATTTTAACTATTATAACTTTCGTGATTCCTTCCATTTGAGACTTGATTTTACGAATGAAATGCAAACCCTACAGCTGATTTTTGTTGTCCCAAAGCGCATCAATCACTTCTTGACTGTCAATTTGCAGCTCCACTTTAAAAAAAACTTTACCAAGAGCAATTTTAATACCTTTAAATACACCCGAAAAATCTGCATTAAATACACTACACTTTCCAACATTCTTGGGCAAACCACACAACCAGGTCCCTATTGATATTCCTTGCAAGGCACCCACATCCAACAACATTGTTTTTAGCTACAACTATATTTGTTTTAGTGCATATCCACTTCTCCTCCAAATTTTTTCAAACCATGGCATTTGTATATCCCCCACAATGGTTCAGACGATTCTGCATACTCATGGTGAGTTTATAATTCTTGACTCTATCGTGAATAACAAAAGATGTATTACTCGGGATTACGAAATCATCTACAAATCTCTTTTGGTTCCTCCATTGCCAAAGTTGATAACATGTTGTGGCCCAAGTGGCCTGTCAATTCTCGTCTCATCGACGGAAACTCATATGCAAGTTCAAAGTTGACCAATCCTCTAAATTAGACTAAAAAAGTAGGAGATTATCATCAGTGTACAGAAGTTGCATCCAAATCCATTTTGCAATATCGCAATCCCACATGACGTGTAATGTTGATTCTTCCACCCCAATACAATCCTCACAACAGGGATATCTCAAGTGAAGCAAACTGAGGTCATGGTTAGTATTGATGCCATTATGATGAAGCATCTAAATGAAACTTCGAACTTGCTCTGGCACTATTAGTTTCCAAATTGTCTTCCAACCATCCATATTTCTCGCATAATTGGTACCCGCAATATGATAAACGCGTTGGATATTTTAAAATATCATGTGTTAGTGCCTCCCCAAATACAATAATTCGGCTCATGATAATCCACACTTGGTAGATCAATCGCTTGAATTCTTTCAAGAATCTCATGAGGAAGCAAACTCCTTAGCATGTTCCAATCCCATCCACCTTCACTGAGAATAATGATTGACAATTGAGCATCTTCATTACACATCGACGAATCCTCTATGAAATTCTTAAGCTTAACTTTTGCATCAATCCAACAGTCAGTCCATAATTTTATTAAGTGCCCATTACCCACTTCCCACTTTGACATTCTATCAAGGAAAGGCCAAACATTCATAATTTGTTTCCACAAGCTAGAGTTATAGCTTTTGGCTTTAACTACACCCTCACTCATGCTCTACATGTCATACTTTTCACACATAACACTCCTCCACAAGGACTCTTACCCACTTTTTAGCTTCCACCATAACTTGGCAATGCAAGCTGAATACATCTCTTTGAGGTTCCTAAACCCCAAATCACCACTTTCTTTAGGTTTGATTATCTCCTTCCACCGAATAGTATGCACATGCCTCTCATTTTCACCATGTCCCCAAATCAAATTCCTCTGGATCTTGTGAATCTTCTTTAAACATGTGAAAGACACTCTATTACTCATCATATCATATGTAGGCAGAGCTACAGTCCCTGATCTAGCCAAAGTAAATCTCCCAGCAAAGGAAATATGCTTTCCTTTATAATTAGCAAGTATGTTTCTCACTTTGTCAATGAGATAATGATAATTTTTGACTTTAGGACTTCTCTCAGTCATGGGTACCCCTAGATACATGTCAAGTTCCATAGTTTCTTTTAATATCGAAGCTTGCATTATCTGCCTTCTTAATTGCTCAGAAGTGTTTTTGGAGAACATTATGTTAGATTTCTCAACACTAACTCTTTTACCCCGAAACTTCACAAAACTTCTTTAGGACCTTCATAATGCAAGTGACCTGTTGCTCAGTAGCCTTTCCAAAAAGGATGAGGTCATTAGCAAACATAAAGTGAGAAATTCTAGGACCTCTCCTTCCTACTTTCATACATTCCAATTCCTTCTTATCAACAACATCCATAATCATATGGGAGAGTTTATCTATGCATAGAAAAAAGAGGTAAGGCGAGATCAGGTAACCTTGGTGAAACCCCTTCTTCAACTTAAAATAATCTCCCCTTTGACCATTCCAAATAACCCTCATGTTAACAATAGTTATAGTTGGCATGATAATACATGTGAGGTTCTGAGGGATACACATCTTCTTAAGCACTTCCTCAACATACTTCCAATTCAACATATCATATGCTTTTGCTAAATCCACTTTGATAGTGAAATATTCGTTCTTGCCTTTTAACTTGTTCATGTTATGAAGAAGTTCTTGAGCAACAATTATATTCTCTTGGAAGTTCCTACTAGGGATAAAACCTGTTTGATTTGGGGACACCACCTTATTCATGCACATCTTTATTCTGTTAACTATAATTTTACTAAGCACTTTGTAGATAGAGTTACAAAGAGTAATAGGGCGAAACTTGTTTACCTTCTCCGGATTAGAAACCTTAGGAATGTGGCAAATTTTAGTTAGATTGACCTCTTCAATGCTGCTAGGATTGCTCTATAACTTCTGCATAAAATTACACACATTAGTACCAACTACATTCTAGGATTTTTGAAAGAAGTCTGCAGGGTACCCATTAGGAAGTCCTGGAGACTTCAAAGGAGCCATGCCAAAAACAACTTTCTTTATTTGCTCATTCTTCAAATCTTCATTAAGGCGGGCTTCTCACAATATTTGTCTCAATTTGAGGAAAGGTATGAGTTGTTGACACCTAATCAATGATCTCCACTTTTGTGTTTTGGTTGTTGATTTTATAAATACATAACATAAATAAAATGTCAATTAGTCAAGTATCATTTAGTTTTGGTTACTTATAACATACCCATAAACTTTGAGATTATGCGAATTTGGAAAAGGTTCAACAACTTTGTATTTTTTGGTTTTTGGTTTAACAAATTCTTATTTAACTAAGAAAATTTTATTTGCTTAATATTTTCAATTAATAAATTATTTATATTTAAGGTTAATACTAATATGTGCCTTAAAAATATTAATTAATTAATTAAATGTAAACATATTGGAATACGTGCTTTTACTTTTTTAAAATTTTAGATACTATTTTATTTTGGTTAGATTTTCTAATTATAATATCCTTAACGTATTGTTAAATTTAAAATTTTATTAAAAATTAGATTTAAATGCATTTTTGATTCCGGTTAATTGATGTGTTTTTTATTTTAGTTCTTATAATTTTTTTCTGATCTGAGTCTCTATATTTTACTTATGTATTGATTTTAGTTTTTAAACTTAAAATTCGTAAGTAATATGCAACTTTTACCTTTAATGACAAAAACCAACACAAAAATTGAGATATAGGAATTTAAATAAAAAATTATATAAACTAAAATTAAAAACTCGCTAATTTACATGACCAATAAATTTAAAAATTATAATATCTTTTAAGACAAAAGTTAGTGCTATCCTTATTTAAGTGTAAGACCACCTCCAACGGTGATTTTTCAAATTGGTTTGCCAGTTTGACATTGAAATTGTTAACAAAAAGTTGTTCCTGTTGGTGAACTTTACAAACATAAGTAACATTTCTTCATTTTTTTTATTATTAAAATAATCATTTAGCCGTTGTGCAACAGCTTTATTATTATTATTTTTTTTAACTTTTTTTATTTATTATAAATATAGGTTTGTTGGAAAAATTGTATACCAGTCCTATTTTCTCTCACTTTTATTTATTCTTTAATTTTAAATTTCTCTCACAATTTCATCATTTTATTCCTCAATATTTAATTTTTTCCAACAATTTCTTCTCATTATCATTTTATTGTTTTTAATTATGTGACATGTATTTAAATTTAATTTTAATTATTATTTTCAATTTTATGTTTAATTTTAATTTTATGTTTAATTTGTATTTATATTAATTAAAATTTAAATATTTAAATTATAATTTTAAATAAAATAAATTTAATATAAATAATATATTTTAAGTAAAGTGGTGAGACTCAATATGGATTCTTTGGGTTGGTATCCACTCCATTTCTTTGTCCCTCCATTTTCTCCATTACTATAGTTTTGTGTGTAAATAACACACATTTCCAAGACATGTGACATATAATTAATATTTAGTTAATTTTATACACATAAAAACTATAGTAATGGAAAAAATGGAGGGACAAAGAAATGAAGTGGATCCCAACCCGAATTCTTTGGAATTGCACTGTTGGAGTAAAAATTGAATGAGTTGCTTTAAAAGAGTGGGTTCCATAAAGAATTTAAAAATGAATTGCACCATTGAAGGTGCTCTAAGTATTATAAAAATTAAGTGTTGGTCTTTAATGTGATTTTTAAACTCAAAACATCATTAAAAAAAACTGTCATTACGAGTGGTCAAAAGTGCTTGTAAATACAAATAAATTAAAAAGTGTTACTACTAAACTTTTTTTTTACATAACTAAATTTAAATTTAAAGTTGAGATGGTCAAATCTATTTAATAATATTCTATCGCTTTTCAAAAACTCTAAAATTTAAAAACCCTAGAATTTCTTTTTAAAAATAAAATCGGTATATAAATTGTGAAGGAGTAAAACTTTTTAATGTGCTGTGTAACCAACAAAAAGTCTAAAATAATAGAGATGGTTAAGAATATTTGTCCCAACAATAACCAAATTAAAGAAAACCCTATATTCAACCTAAAGATTTTTAAAACTAAAGGTGACATGTAAGGTATACTTTAGAGTTAAATAATTATTTTATTCTTATACATATATAATATTTTGTTTTCAGTTTGTAAAAAAAAAATTGATTAAAAGTTAAATTTTTTTTACTCAAATAATTCACTTTTTAAAATTAATTCATCAAATAACTCATGTTTTAAAAAAAATAATTCAAAATACCCTAAACTAAAAAAAATGAATAAATGTTGTTCTCAATTCAATTAGCAATAACTTTGTAATTTTAAGTGAATGTGTCATTTAAATTTGAGACGTTGTATAGTGTTGTCAAGTCCATTGGCAATAGTGTGTAAATTGCTAAATGGGACACCAATTGGTTGAGACATGGCGTACAATCATAAAATTTTTAGCATAAATAATTAACATTAATAATTAATTAAAAGCAATATTATACAAACTAATGATGACGATCGAGTTGGTCATAGTGGTCACCGGTTCCACATCTCCTAGCTATTCTTACTCGTTGCACTCATTGTTGATTCACTCCAAGTGTTTGAGGATTTAAGGTCTCTTGATAATAGTCATTTTGCCCCCAACAAAATGGCTATAGCTAAAATGCATATGCCCCTAACACAATATTAAGATATAGCCAAAACAACCAAGGAACATATAACACCAACCTTTCCTCATATCATAGTCAAAACGCCCAAACATCATATCATAACCAAAACGCTCAAATATCACACCATTGTCAAAACACACAAACATATGACTTTTAAACACCACAACCATTTAAACATTTTTTCAACAAATCGTTCACACCAATGTCCCTCTTCAATCGTCCAGGCCGCACACCAACTACTCTGACATGGGTCGCGAACTCAGTTATGGCAGTGTGTCGCTTCATACACAAGACTTCTTAGAAATGCAAAAACTTCTTAGGGATCCTGCTGATGTTCCTAAGACCTCAAATCGTTAAACATCTGGAGTGAATCAACAAAGAGGAAAATGAGTAAGAATAGTTATGACCAACCCGATCGTCGTCATTAGTTTATGTAATATTTTTTTAATTAAATATTAACATTAACTATTTATGCTAAAAATGTTATGATTGTACACTGTCTCCCAATCAATTGACATCACCTTTATGCATTTGTATACTTATGTCAATTGAATTGGCAACATATGTTTTCAATCTAATTGGCGTCTTTACTTAAAGTTACAAAACTTTCGCAAATTAAATTGACAACAATACTTAATCATTTTCTTAAACTGGTTTATTTTGGAAAAAAAATTAAACATGGATTATTTGAAAAAATAAATAAAAAAAAGTGAGTTATTTGAATAAAAAATTCAAAAATTTAATGTGACATTGTTTAAAATACAATATATTTATAAAGATTAAAGTTTGAAATTTTTTTAAAATGACAATTAAATAATAATACGGGTGAGTAAAATAATATGCGGTGTATTTAGCATAAATCTAAAATTAAAACCAGACTAATTTCCCGGCCCATAGTACCTAAGAAGCATCGAAAGAGAGCGGAATTTGAAATTCAAAAGGAAAGTGTCCGTTGCTCAACGATTTTATTTCTGCTATTATATATATTTATAAATTTCTGTAAGAAAATCGCAGAATTTTCATTTCTTCAAAATCGCAAAAAATACTCTACGAACCCTAAGCCTCTCGGTCAATTTCCGTTTCTTCGCAGCTTCCGCACTTTCAGGTTTGTGTCTCGATTTCTCTGCTTTGTGATTCTTCAATTTGTTCTAGTTGTTGTTGAATTTGATTTTGTGATCCTACTTTGCTGTTAGGATTATGGATTATACTGTTGATCTTGCTGTGTTCATTGTTAAATTGTTGTTGAATTGAATTTGTAGTTCTGAATTTGTTGTTTAATTTTGTTTGTGCTGTGTTTTTATTTTCTTCATTTCAGCACTAGATCGTGATTGATGGAGAAATCAGGTGGTGGAATAGGAGTAGTATTGTCGGCGAAAGAGGCATTTGAGAAGCTCGAGAAAGTTGGAGAAGGAACTTATGGGAAGGTATACAGAGCAAGAGAGAAAGCTACTGGGAAGATCGTTGCTCTGAAGAAGACTCGTCTCCATGAGGACGATGAAGGTGTTCCTCCCACCACTCTTCGCGAGGTTTCAATTTTGCGAATGCTCTCCCGCGATCCACATGTTGTTAGGTAAGTACCTTTTTATTTGATTTACCCTAATTAATTTCAATTTCAATTGGATGCGAATTAGGCTAATTTTCTAAACAAGTACTCTATCAGGTTATTGGATGTGAAACAAGGTCAGAATAAGGAAGGGAAAACTGTGCTCTACTTGGTTTTCGAGTACATGGATACTGATCTCAAGAAATTCATCCGTTCGTTTCGCCAAACTGGCGAAAACATCCCATCCCCAACCATCAAAGTACTGTTTGTTTCTAGTATTTTTCAGTATCAGACTTTATTGATTGTTGTTGTGTTCTTATAAGGGTTCGTATCCAACTAAGTAATCAATACTTTTGTGGGTTTGATTTCAGAGCTTGATGTACCAACTTTGCAAGGGTGTTGCTTTCTGCCATGGCCATGGAATCTTGCACAGGTACACTTCATATATCTCCCATATATATAGATTCGTAGATTAATCACTAGTTAACATTGGACCTCTTTTGCTAAAGGGACTTGAAACCTCACAATCTCTTGATGGACCGGAAAACAAGTATGCTCAAAATTGCTGATCTTGGACTTGCCAGAGCGTTTACTGTGCCACTTAAGAAGTACACTCATGAGGTAAAAGAAGGATGGATTTTTGGATTTGATTCTAGAACCTAATGACATAGTTTTCATTTAGTTTCTTGAAAATTAATAAACATGTTGGGATATCATATTATGATGAGAGACAAGACATCCACAAATTTCAGTAGCTCTTTATTTTAGAATTGAGTATGTATGTAATGTGATATAGTGAGTCAGTATTAGTCTGTGCCCTGAGTATTGGTTTTAATCCAAGTTGTCGTAACCTTAAATGCTTCTGATTGCATAACCTTTGTCATTTTCAGATTCTAACTCTGTGGTACAGAGCACCTGAAGTTCTTTTGGGGGCTACCCATTACTCAATGGCAGTGGATATATGGTCTGTTGCGTGCATATTCGGTAAGGATTTGTTATTCAACCAGGCTAAGTGCTATTACTTAGTATTTTTTATCTTGCACCAGGGTTTTATTTGACATATTTTCATGTGGTCTATTATAGTTGAACTTGTCACCAAGCAAGCACTATTTCCTGGTGATTCTGAGCTGCAACAACTCCTCCATATATTCAGACTGTTGGGGACTCCTAATGAAGAGGTTTGGCCAGGTGTTAGTAAACTAATGAACTGGCATGAGTACCCTCAGTGGAGCCCTCAAAATCTTGCAAAGGCTGTTCCCAATTTGGACGAGTCTGGACTTGATCTACTCTCTGTAAGTTAACCCCTTGATTAGTTAACTCTTTCAATTGACTGGTATCCTTTTTAATATTAGGATCGGTTTTCTTCATTTCATTTTCAGCAAATGCTCAAGTATGAACCTTCCAAGAGGATTTCAGCAAAGAAAGCTATGGAACACCCTTACTTTGATGACCTGAACAAAACCAATCTTTAGGTTATAAATGTTTAATTGGTAAAATAAACATTTGGATGTGGAAATTCTTATCATGCTTCTCTCGAGCGCATATCAAAACTGTTTCATAAGCCCTAGCACTTGCAACTGTGCTTACAATTTAGTATCTACTTTTGTGATGTTTTATTCAGTTGAATTCTATTTTCAACTGAATTTTATCTTACTCTAGTATTCCCTATTGAGAGTTATCCTGTATTTGATAAACTCTTTCTACCAGAAAGTTCTGTTAGTCTTCTAACAACTTAATTTAATATGTTGAAATGACTTTAAGAATCAAATAATATATCTTAACTGAATACTGTTGCTTGAGAATTTGGCTAGGTTTGAGATTTAGATATGTGTTTGGATGCGTGTTGCTTTCAACAATCCAAGTTCGTGTGATTTCAATGTAGGTTCATTGAAACAATTAGAGGCACTACATGACCGGTACCGCTTAAGTTTTGTTAAAATTCAAACATGAAACTACCAATCAGAACAATTTGTTTAATGCATGATTTAAACGATGCATGCAGTGCCTCTAATTAAAACACAAATGTGCTTGAAGCTACCAATAAGAAACATTTTTTTTAATGTGATTCAAATCATGCTCTAAAACATTTACATAAAACTTTGGCAATTCATGGACGTTAACGCATGACCCTTTTTTTTTGTTAACATTCAAACATGTGCTTGAAGCTAATCAGAAACAATATTTTAATGCATGATTCAAATCATGCTCTAAACTTTGATATATGTTGCTTTAATCGATCTAAAATTCTAGTGAAATTTCAATTCAATGTGGGTTCATTGAAATTATCAATTAGTGGCACTAATTGGTTGTTACACTTAAGTTTAGTTTGAATCCAAACACAATTTTGAAACTACCCATCAGAAAAAGAAAAAGTTTTGAAAGGGGCAATGACTTGTGGTACAAAAAGTTCTCCGACGATTCCATCATTTCATGGAGATAGCTGGGGAGAATGTTCTCCAGACACTTCCTTGAGGCCATCATTCAAGGGAGAGATGAATCCCTGCGAGCCTACATTGAAAGGTTCAATAAGGAGGCCATTCGAGTCTTTACGACCGATGACATGAAAAAGTTTCTGCTCGAGTGCGGTCTCTGTCCCCGCATTGAATTTGCTAAAGTTTCTCCTCAAGGCACAAGCGTACATTTAGTACGAAGAGAAGGAGACCGACTATTTTGCTCGAGATTCAAGGCACCGAGAGAATGCCCGAACATCCAGGTCCGACGAGCTCTCGACATCCCGTCGGGGGAGACAGAAGACGAAAATACCGTCCTCGAGAGCCCGAGACAACAAAGGGCCTTCCGGCCGGTTCCACGAGTACACTCCCCTGACGGTTTCGAGGGAAAAGATCCTTTCTGAATGTGCCATCTCAGAATTTCGGCAGGCGGGGGTCCGATTCCTGAAGTAGATACCTTCCAAACCAAACACGGACAAGTCGAAATATTGTCGGTTCCATAAGAGCCACAACCATATGACCGACGACTGCATCCACTTGAAAAATGACATAGAAATACTCATCAGGGACGGACATTTTAAGCAGTTCACCAAACGGAAGGAAGCTCCTCGGCAAGACGCCCAGAAATCCAAGAAGGTCGAGGAAGAGGTACCTTCCTCCGAGGAAGCCAGCCTTCAGGTCGCTATGTGCATCTCGCGTCCTGAAGATTTCTACATCCCCGAGGGGCTCAACGCCCCTCCATATTTCTCCGTGCACATCCCATGGGAGACTTTCCCCTCAGCTATGGTCATCTCCGGAGGGGGCTTCAACAAAGTCACAGTAGGGTCCGTCAAAAGAAAATTTGAGGAGAGTCTGTTCACATCTGCTTCTACGGCGAGGAGCTCCTCGGTGGAGCCTCCAACGCCAGCATCCCTCTGCTCGTGAGAGCCTAGATGGAAAATTTTGACGTCCGACAAATCCTCGTCGACCAAGGCATCTCAGTTGATATTATGTATTCCCAGCTGTTTTCCACCCTCCAGCTGGACGAATCGTATCTGACAACCTACGTAGGCTCCGATCTGCAGGGTTTCTATGGGTCAGTGACGAAGCTGTAGGGTTACGTAGAGCTAATCATAATTTTTGGGTCCGCTGAAACGGCCAGGTCAATCAAGGTCTAATTCATGGTCATTGATTTCCCGTCGCTATACCAATGCATCTTCGGGCGACCAACTCTGGTCGAATTGGTGGTTGTGCCCCAAACAGTGCACTTGAAGATGAAATACTATACGTCGAAGGGTCTCGCGATGACTCTACACAGAGACATTGATGTCGCGAGGAGATGTTTTGAAGCAGCCTCCAAGGGACTGAATACCATTGTCGCCCGTCCAAAGACTCCCAGCCAGACTTCTCTGCCCAGCAGTCCCGAAGAGACGAAGCCACTGCCCCGCGTCGACTCCATCGACCTTGACAGTCGTTTCTCCGAAGACTACCAGAAGATTTAGAAGGAAAAGGGGAAAGAGATCCATCCATCTTTAGCCTCTCCAGTAGCGGCAAAACTATCCATCCGATGCGCCCAATTCCGGATGGAAAGTTCGAAAATGTCTTACTCGGAGACGACCCCCTGCGGGGAGTGAAGATTGGGACCGGTCTCCCCGAGCTTGCGAGGAAACAACTAAGAGTCTACCTCTAGGAGAATGCAGATTTGTTCGCGTGGAGCGACGCGGAGATGCCAGGGCTAGACTCTGATGTGGCCTGTCACCACCTCATTATTGATCCTGTCGTTAGGGCAGTATCTCAACGTAGATGACGACAGTCTCGGAAGAAGACGAAGGTTGTCAAACAGGCTGTAAAAGACCTCCTAGAGGCGAACTTTATCTCGGAAGCCAAGTACATCACTTGACTGTCCAATCTTGTACTCATGAAAAAGAATAATGGAAAATGGCGAATGTGCATTGACTATACCAATCTTAATATGGTCTGTCCTAAAAATGCATATCTCCTCCCTAACATAGATAAACTAGTTCATAATTCTGCCGATTTTAAATTGTTATCTTTCATGGACGCGTATCCGGGCTATAACCAAATACCCATGGCACAAAGCGATAAAAAAGGTACATGACTTTCATGACCGAATCAGACAACTATTACTACAACGTAATACCTTTCGGCTTGAAAAATGCTGGCGCTACCTACCAAAGGATGATAAACAACGTCTTCCGAGGAGAAATCAGGGACATGCTCGAAGTCTATATGGACGACATGATCATGAAGTCCCACGAGGAATCCGATCACACGACCCACTTAAGGAAGGTCACCGAGTAGGCCAGGAAGTACAGGTTGCGCTTTAATTCGGAGAAGTGAATGTTCGGGGTAAGAGCGGGTAAGTTCCTCGGTTTCTATCTGACTGAATGAAGAATCGAAACTAACCCCGACAAGTGCAGAGCCTTCTCTGAGTTTCCCACACCGAACTCAAAAAAGTCCATCCAATCCCTAAACGGGATGCTCGCATCGCTCTCCCGTCTCGTGGCCAAGTTTGCCCAACACACCCTCCCTTTTTTCAAACTCCTCCGCAAGAAGGTCGTGTTCGAATGGACGGAGGAATGCGACAACACCCTCCTCCAACTGAAATAAGCTCTATCAAAGCCACCAATCCTCTCCCGGCCAGATAATGGGAAACCTTTTATCTCTACCTCGCTATTGCGACCGAGGATGTTAGCGTCGCCCTCAATCGCGAAACGCCAGACGGCTAAAATCCTATCTACTTCACGAGAAAGGCACTTCAAGGGCCAGAGCTGAGGTACCAACAGATAGATAAGGTGGACCTAGACCTTATCAACGCTGCAAGAAGGCTAAGGCACTACTTTCTGGCCCACAAAATCGTGGTACACACGGACCAGCCCGTAAAGCAGTTGTTAAACCGTCCGGATATGGCTGCCAGAATGCTCAAATGGTCGCTAGAGCTATTCAATATTGACATCTAGTACGAGAGCAAAAAGGCCCTCAAGGCGCAAGCACTGGCTAATTTCGTTCGAGAAATAACCTTGCCAGACTACCCTAACGGGGGTGCCCGCAAGTGGATCATCTTCGGCGACGGAGTATCTAGCTCAGAGGGAGCAGGGCTGATGTCATTTTGGAAAACAAATAGGGAATCCTCATCGAAGTTTCACTTACATTATCCTTCCCTACCTCTAACAACCAGGCCGAATACAAAGCCATCCTCGCAGGTTTGCGCCTCGCTGAAGACCTGGGAGCGGAAGAAGTCATCATCTGCACTGATTCTCAGCTAGTGGCCCTCCAAGTCAGGGGAGAATACCAGGTCAAAATCGAAAACCTGTCTGAATACTTGGGCTTGGTTAAGGAGGAGATGGAAAAGTTCACCTCCGTAGAAGTAAAACACGTTCCCCGCAAATACAATGTTCGGGCAGACATCCTATAAAAACTAGCAAGCACGAGAAAAAAAAAGTGGGGAAACAAATTCGTCATCCAGGAAATACTCCCACAACCTAGCATTGAGAGAGAATCCACGACCCTCGACGTTCATGTCGTCGGCTACAGCCATTGATGGATGACCCCTAGTGTACAATTACCTCACAAAGGATGAACTACCACTCGACCCCAAGGAGGCCAGCGTAGTAAGGCGCAGAGCTTGCTTCTACGTTCTGGTCGAAAACAAGATGTACAGGAGAGGATTCTCCATCCCTCTTCTCAAATGCATCGAGGAAGAAATGGTCGCTCACGTCTTGCGCGAGATCCATGAAGGAATCAATGCCCAACACCTCAGAGGGAGATCCCTCGCGAGGAAAGCTCTTCGGGCAGGATATTACTAGTCGACCATGCAAAACGACGGGAGGGAACACGTGAAGAAATGCGAAAAATGCCAACGGCACGGGGACATGCACTTGGCCCTGCCCAATGAAATCAAAGCGATGCCCTCCCCGTGTCCATTCTCTTGGTGGGGCCTATACATCCTAAGACCATTTGTCGTAGGGTCAAACCAGAACAAGTACTTGATAGTAGGCGTAGACTGCTTCATAAAGTGGATA